GACGTCTGGAGCTCCTGCTCCAAGCCAGAGGGACTGCCTTATTAGGAAAATAGTTAGGAAAATACCTTTTTCCAGGTATTCCGGGACATCTTCTACATCCGGGTTCAGAGAGTTCAGGACAGGGCTAAGAACATCGGAGGACGAAGAAGGAGACAGAAGACTTTGGCCATCCTTCTTACAAAATGACGGAAGAAACAGACATGGCCGCATCGTTGGAATTTAAGGAGCAACTGCCTATAGCGCCTGAGGCTTTGGGGGTTGGACAGCGGAGTCTTCAGCGGCTGGGAATTGCGCCGCTACAACAAGACAGCAGCTCCTCCAGCACGGGACCGGCTGATCGCAAGGAGCCAGCCGGCCCCCGCGAGACCCCTCTCCACGTGACGGAAGATGGCGGTGCGGCACCAAGCGGCGGTGGAGGCAGCTGTAAAAGGCCCCAGCCCAAGGGATCCTGCCCGCCGCGGGCCAAGAAGATGGCAGCACCGAAGTTGGCTGGTGGAGCGGCCAGCGGGAACAGCAAGAAGCGCCACGGGAAAGCCACAGGGAAGGCGAGCCCAGCGGGTGAGCTCATTCCATCGGGGGGGCCCCCAGCAGGAGGCGAGGGGGACGGGATCATCCCGGCCCCGAATCCACCACAAGCCCCACTACCAGGGCCGATTTCAGGCCAGCCCGGGGCCCCGACCGGAGCCGTTCCCGCCCAAATACCACCCCAGCCGCCGGTAGAGGCACCACCACAGCCAAGTGGCTCCGGGCCAGCGCAATGCACACAACCCAGCAGCTCCGGAACAGGGCAGAAGAATACACTGCAAGTCTCCGGGCAGAACACCTAAGGGGCCTGTCCAACCAACAGGCGGACTGGCTAAGCAGGGAGGATCTGAACCCGGGCGAATGGGCACTGAACAAGGAAGTCTTTGTCCAGCTCACTCAACGATTTGGAATGCCCGTGATGAATGTCCTCGCGAGCTCTCGGAACCACCAAGTCGAACGGTTCCTGTCCCGATACCATGATTCGGAAGCAGAAGGGATCGACGCACTATCCCACCCATGGCCACAGGGTCTCCTGTATGCTTTCCCACCTACGGCCCTCATAGGGGCAATAATCAGCAGAATCAGAAGGTAGAGGGCCACAGTGGTATTTGTGGCACCCCACTGGCCGAGAAGACCGTGGTTCTCGGAGCTAGTGCAACTGGCAACGGGGAGACCATGGATGCTGCCACAGAGGCCAGACCTTCTACACCAGGGGCCCATTTTACACCCAGACCCGACATGGCTACAACTGACTGCATGGAAATTGAATGTACCCGACTAACCAGCACGGGTTTCCCTCGGGAGGTAATTGAAGTCATGCTACAGGCGAGACGGCAGTCTACACGCCGAATATATAGCCATACTTGGAGGATGTTCGTAAGATGGGCATCGACTATGGGCATCCAGCCTATGCGGGCCACGGCCAAGGAGGTCATCCTATTCCTCTCTGAGGGCTGGCAGTAGGGACTACAACCAAACACCCTGAAACGCCAAGTGGCAGCCATACAAGCGTGCTTGGGGAGCAAGACTCGGAGGAAGATATCATCCAGCAGTTATATGAAAAAGTTCCTGAAGGGAACATGCCAGCTGGCCCCTCCGGTATGGCACAGATTCCCTACGTGGAGCCTACACAAGGTATTGAACGCCTTGACAAAAAACCCATTCGAGCCTGTGAAATCAACTGAACTTTGGCTCTTATCATGGAAAGTCACCTTTCTCATTGTGGTGACTACGGCTAGGAGAATTTCCAAGTTGGCCACCCTTTCGGCTAGGAAGGAGCTTTGCGTTTTCCAGCGAGAGTTCGTAACATTGAGGATGGATCCATCATTCATCCCAAAAGTAAATTCGGCCTTCCATCTCAACCAGCCAATTACATTGCCTTCTTTCTGTCTGAAGCCAACACACCCCAAGGAAAAGACGTGGCACAAGCTGGACGTACGTCGAGTTCTACGTATCTATCTTGACAGAACGGTCGGCTTCCGTCGGTCCGACGCCCTGTTTGTGACGTACGGGACCCCAAACCAAGGAAAAAAGGCATCAAAACCGACAGTGGCTTACTGGATCTGGCAGTGCATTACCTAGGCCTATGAGGTACAAGTCCTCACACTGCCAGGCAAGTTAACAGCACATTCCACGAGAGCTGCTGCAACGACCGTGGCATTTTCCACACGAGCCACGGTAGACGAGATATGCAGAGCAGCTACCTGGACGTCATTTTCCACGTTTGTACGACACTACAGGATGGACCAAGCCGCGTCAGCTGAGGGGGCTTTTGGCAGGAGAGTTTTACAACAAGTGGTAAAAGCATTAAAAAATAATAATAATAACAGCTGTCATGCAACGAGGTGCACCACAAAGTGCGACTGATCACCCACCCCAGAAGAATAGCTTGGGTACAGCTAACCGGTTGCTGGATGACTTCCCCCCACTGAAGGAGAACGGTACATTGGACCTACCTGAAGGTTCTTTCTCTTCAGTGGGGGAGATGTCATCTACATCCCACCCAAAACAGGCAGCAAGAAGGCCGGGGTGGCAAAATAACAAAGAACAGCACCAGAAAATCGAAATTATGTGGATGACAGCGAACATATAGCAAGAGCGGTCCACGGAAGGGGCTTGGACATGACCGGAGAGGTCGACCAGGGCCACTCCAATAGGAGCCATGCAACAAAAGAAATTTGCACAGCCTATCCAGCGAGCAGAGGCGTGACCTAACCAGTTGCTGGATGACTTCTCCCCCACTGAAGAGAAAGAACCTTCAGGTAGGTCCAATGTACCGTTTAATAATTCAGTAGGCTTCACACTAATTGGCTGGAAAGTAAATACTATTTGCATAAATGTAGTATGTCATTATTTATCCACTGCAGAAATTGAGGTTTAATTAAGACAAAAGCCTATGGACTTTTAAGCAATTAATGAAATATATTGCATTGCTTAGCCAGTCAGGTACCAAAGGCGGTTGTCCCTTAAGGCACAAGAAGATTTATGTTGCAATATAGAGCAGCAGCTATTACAGACTTTCAGTTTCTGAAGGAAGGGGGGGGGAACCTGCTCCTTTTATGAATGAAGTCTCCCAATCCCAGGCCTGTTTGTATTTTGCCCCAAGAGACCCATAATGCTGTGCTGAGAATAAATTCTTCAAATTAATGAAGCTGTAATTTTGCATAAGCATCTTTTGAGTTTACCTAGTATTTGCACGTCTGCAGAAGTTTGAATTTTTTCAGTTGGGTGGAAGCATGAGGAGGAATATCGGTCAGAGGTAGAAAGAAAGGAGCAAGTCTGTAGAAAGGGTGTATGACAGGGAACTGTGGAAGAAGGAGCTGCACTGGGTTTAGAAACTGCGCCTCTAGAATGAAGAACAGTTGGTTTTTATACTCCACTTTTCTCTTCCTTAAGGAGTCTCAAAGCAACTTACAATCACCTTCCCTTCCTCTCCCCACAGTAGGCACCTTGTGAGGCAAGTGGGGCTGAGAGAGTTCTGAGAGAACTGTGACTGGCCCAAGGTTACCCAGCATGCTTCACGGAGAGGAGTGGGGAATCAAACCCGGCTCTCCACATTAGAGTCCCCCGCTCCTAACCACTGCACCATGCTGAATACTGGGCCTTTGACACTTGCAAACATGCAGACACTAGGTTGGATCCTTAGGTGCTCTTTCACCATTGTAATGTCACTGTTGCTAACTGAATGATATTTCCAAGGATAGAGGGGGCCATTTTTGCTGGTTCACCTCTCCCAATGCAGACCCCCACCCCCACCCCACGTTGTTTTTGAAGGTCCTCTGCCTACCAGGAGCAGAACTACAGGTGGCTCACTGATCCGTGGGAGGAGGGAGAAGGTGGGAAATTCCATGAGCTTTGTTGTGCTCACAGTAGTTTGGATCCAATCTGGTGCCTGTATTTTCACCACCAGGAAGTCATTAGCTAGATGTGAGGGGCAGATTTGGTGCTTCCTGTAGAATCTGAAGCTGCCCCAAGTTTACTTGGCGATCTATATATCTAATAGCCAAGTCGCCCCCTGGTGTGCGGATACTTATTTCCACACATCAGGGGCACCTGGGGGGGAGGGGGATTTTTGTGCACACTTAGGACGGTCCCCAGGTGTGCACAAAAATCTTAAAACCTGAAAAAAAATTGGGGGGATACTTAAATCCCCCCAAAAGTCACAGAGCGTCCCCTGCGCATGCATAGGGAACGCTCTGCGAACTGCCTCAGTTCAGGGGGGGAGGGGAGCGAGCGACCAGTCGCTTTGAGGAGGCAGCGGTGGGGGGGAGGCCCCCTCGACGAGGGGGGGAAGGCCGGAGGCGAGGGGGGGGAAGACAGCCGAGGTTGCTCGGAGCCAGGAGCAGGGAAGAGAGACTGCCGAGGCCCGGCGGTTGTAAGCCACGCGAGCCTCGCTTCGGGGGGGGAGAGAGAGACTGGGGAGGGGGGGAAGAGAGAGAACAGGGGGGAAGAGAGAGAGACTGGGGGGCCCGGCAAGCTGGGGGTGGTAGTTTGGGGAAGGGTGCAGGAGACGGGGGAACCGACGGGAGGGGGGAAGCTTGCCTTCTTCTTCCACCTCCGCTTGCTCTGTGTGGAGCTCCCCCGCTCCTCCCCCCGCGATTTTCGCGGGTCCCCTTTCTTGTCACAAATATATTTCTCAATCTTCTTCCTCTATTAGAAGGAAAACTCAAACTAACACTGCTATCCTAAGCACACTTTCCTGGGAGTTAGCCCCATTATGTAGAGCAGAATTCTATGTAGATCTCTCTTTAAGATTGCAATCTATAGCTACCATAGTTGCCTTGTAATGAAACAGCTGTGACAGCAGAAAATCATTTAGGCAAATATTAATACTTTATTTAAACTAAGATTAATTACAAGTTCTTATCTAGTTCAAGAGCATCTCTCCCCCCCCTTTTTAAAGTATTGTGCTTACTTCAGTGTTGGCAATCCAAAGTTACCAAGTCTCTTACCCAAGTGCATTTTTCAATTTTTAGGAGACCAAAGGACCAGAAACCATCTACAGTTCAGCTCTTGACTCCACCTCCACCTTGGATGCATCTGGCAGTTGTAGCATGTGGTGACCGGCTGGAAGAAACGCTCATCATGCTGAAATCAGCAGTTCTGTTCAGCAACAGGAAACTCAAATTTCACATCTTTGCTGAAGATTCCTTGAAGCCTGAATTTGAGAGGAAAGTGAGTCCCCTTTGTTCATTTTTCCCCCATCAATTGATCTTTGATTACAAGCCCTTGCATTTGATTAGAAATGGATTCTTTTGAGTTGTAAGCTCTCAAAGCGCTGTCTGAGCAAGGGCTCTCTTTTAATACGTTTGACATTGCAAATAGCATTCCTAGAAACTGCCCATCAGGAATTCTAATCCCTTGCCTGTTTGCGCTTTTCAGTTGCAGGACTGGCCTCCCTCTTATACAAAGAAGTTTGAGCATAATGTCTACCCAATTGCCTTTTCGGTGGGAAATGCTCAGGAATGGAAAAAATTATTCAAGCCATGTGCTGCCCAACGCCTTTTTCTTCCGGTAAGGTACCCAGACTTCTATACATGGAGGAGCCTATGAAACTGGCAGTGCAACCTGAAGTCCAGTTACACCCTTCGAAGTGGTGTGTTGGCCTTAGAATGTTTTGGTTAAATTTTAATTAAAAACAAACAAACAATGGTATAGTCATAATAGTAAGGAGAACAGATGAATTATAATTTCTCTAAAAACTTGATAATTGGCCACCACTCTTTCATAAAACATCATCATCATCATCATCATCATCATCATCATCATCATCATCATCATCATCATTATTAGCATTAGCATTAGCATTAGCATTAGCTTTTCTTGCTGGAGTTGAAGGTATTGTAGGCTCCTATCTTTAGTAAATGGTGTGCTTTCAGAATCCAGAATAGTTCAGTAGGGGATTCAAGTTCCCCCCACTTTTCTGCCGTTTCCAAGTATAAACTACTGTCAACACATTTCTTGTTAATTGTTTGATGAAAGCAAACATGGGCTTCTTCACTGATGCAGCCGGTATCTCAGTTAAGGGTTGTAATTTAATGCACATTTTACTAGTCTTTTACATGTTGATCCTGACTTGTTTTCCAATGAAGTTTCGATGTTAGGATAGGTCTGCCAAAGGTGGAAATAAGTAGCAGATTCTGAGCAACCTTTCCAGCAGAAATCATTTCCTGAACTATACATGTGATGGAATTTGACTGGAGTTAAGTGGCCATAAAGATCTGGACGTCTGATTGAACTGTTCCTCTCTCCCTTGCTAACCTGTCAGGCAATCACTCCTCCCCACTTCCTAGTTGCTAGCCTGAGTTGTGGATTATTCTTTTTTTAACTGGGAAGGGGATGGCATTGAATGACTGGATTCACTGCCTGCCTCCTTTCCAGCAATTGAAAAACAAAGCAAGAGAAGCATTACTAGCAAAGCTCTGCCCCGGGTTTTAGGGAGGGACTCTGACTCAGTGGCAGAGCATCTGCTTGGCATGCAAAAGGCTCCATGTTCAATCCCCAGCATCTTCTATTAAAAGGATCAGTTAAGAGGTAATGTGAAAGACCTCTGTCTGAGACCCTGGAGAGCCACTGCCAGTCTGAGTAGACCATACTGACCTTGATGGACCAAGGGTCTGATTCATTATAAGGCTGCTTCATGTGTTCTAGGGTTTTCAGCCGCCAGGTTTGGGCAGGGGTTCCTCTGCTTTTGGGGGTTCCAGTCCGCCCTCGGCCAGCTTGCTGGTGGGGGAGGCCCCGCCTCCAATCCCTGCTGAGTGGGTGGTTGCTCTTGGGGGTGGGGCTTGGGGAATCCCCACCCACCCTCAGAATGCCCCCCAATCCCCCCACTGGAGCGACGAGAGGACCTGGCAACCTTTGTGTGTTCACATGACCGTTGGTATGTGAATGGCTCTCTATCTTATAGACTTGATTGCCGTGAGTGTGAGCAGCACTAGCCATGTCTTAGTTCAGTAAGGACTAGTGTATTTTCAGATTTTTTTAAAAAAAGGAAAAAAAATAATGAAATGCTTATTTCTTGGTAAGTGCTGCAGTAGACAACAGCTTCAAGCTGCTTCATATTAAGAATTTGAGGAAGTGGATTAAATCTGTATGTCCCGAGTGCTAACATCTTCTGGCTTTGTTTATTCAGGGACAATTGCGGCCTTCTAAATAACTGAGACAATGTGCAAAATATTTTTTTAAAATTTTAAATGCCAAATTTCATGTAAGAAAAAGGGCTGTGCATTTTGTAGGTATAGTACCTCGTGGCCTCTAAATACTTTTCATTTAGCAGTGATCCTCACACTCAGACCTATGGTACTTAGTACTTAGCAGTGGCCCATTGCTGTTGTACTTCACTGTACTCCGTGTAGTTTCCAGCATCCTAGTCTTGATTACTAGGTTTCTTTAGGCTACTATTCAAGCACATCCCTCAGAATATCAAAGAAATACCATGGCTGCAATAAGTGATGGAATCTGGTGACCACTGGCAGCCAGCAGGTTGTGTGGGACAGGAAACACATTTAGGCTGCAGAGCCTGGCAGGTGACAGTGAAGAGGACATGATGGTATTCCAGCATCAGGACTTGAAAACGCAGACTGTGGGAGCTGGAAGCAAGACTGAAGCTGCATTCCATTGACTGAATGAACCACGATTTATGTGGTTTAAAAAACAGCCTCAAAAATGCTGTTCTCTTATGTGAAGACTGAGAATTTCCTTAGACCGTAGTTCTAACATAGGAGTTGAGCTAAACAATGAACTGGATTGTTCTCTTGTCTACAAACCAAGATCAGCATTTGAAACCCTCTTCTTTTGGGTGAGACAATAAATCACAGTTGTTGTTTTTTAAATCTGATTTGGACATCAAATTGTGTTGTCCCCAAGCCTAGGAAATTTTCAGTATTCTTGTACATGGCAGCTAGAGTTCACAAGCCTGAGATCTTCTGTCTGTCCAAGAACAAACCATACTTTGAACTATCATCTGAATGCAGACATAAACTAATGACAAGGGTAGACTATAGAAATTTGTTCTACTGCTTCAGACCAATACGACTGACCACCTGGAACTATCTTCATGAAGAGTAGACTATAGTTAACCTGAAATGTTGCTACAACTCTGGTGTGACTTCTGAGAGCCCAACCAGATATGCCAGCATCCCTGAGTCCACCATGGGCATGCCTCTGCCATTTTAGGGATGAAATTCCCTCTGTTTACAAAAGCTGCAGGGGGATCCTCATCAGGACCATGGAATTGGGGGGGGGGGGTTTCCTGTTTTCTCCTACGCCATTTTCAAAAGCCCAAATCCTCAGCATTTGAGATCTTGAAAATGACACATGGGCAGGAGGAACAGGCACTCTTCTTCCCCCATGCCCTGGTCCCAGTCAGCAACATTTGTAAAGAGAGGGAACTTCATCTCATGGTGGACTTGGGGATATCACATCTAGTTTGGCTCTGAGATGAATATTTTCGGGAGTCTAGTGTGTCTCTTGGTGCTTCTGGGAACAGCATGGTTGTGATGGTGGTGTCACCCAGATTATTCAATTCAATTCAAAACCTTTATTGGCATGGATCAGAGTCATAAACAGTCACCCTTCAGTTCATGGATTTAACACATAGCTTCCTCATTATAAGGCAGTTACAGAAATTAGCCACCGCTTCAATAACCACTGTATTTTGTGAAGCCAATAAATGGTACAACATTCTGTCATCCGATTGTTTGACATCTTTCTTAAGTATGGCTTCTAGATAGACTGCCCGAATGTCATCATACAAACTACAGTGGAGGAATACGTGTTCGATTGTTTCAATCTCCTCTGAATCACAATCACAAAACCTAACAGAGTAGGGGATTTTCTTAAATCTTCCTGCTAAAACCGCAGAGGGGAGCACGTTAAAGCGGGCCAGCATAAATGCTCTACGCAGCTGTGGAGAAGTCAAATCCGATATGTATTGTGCAGGGGTGTTGATCGGAAAACGTGCCCATCTTAAAGGGGAGCATCTACCAGAAGCCAAGGCTCTAAGCTCTTGCATCTCAATATCAATTAATCTCTGTTTGAGCAGGGCAAAGATGTGTGCTTCAGATAAGGACATCATATCATTCACGCATAACCCTATTGAGACGATTTTCCTTTCTATAGCAGCAAACCACTCAGAGCAATGAGACTCTTCCAACAGATATGTAATAAGGCTATTGGGACAGTTCCTAAAGTGCAAACGTAGCCAAAATCTGAAGGTAATTATCCAAGCCCTTGTTTCCAAGCGTATCATATTGACTTCCAAACAAATAGCGGCGTAGGAAACACACAGGGGCAACCCTAATATTTTCCTCACAAAATTGGATTGGAGTTGTTCTACCATTTTGTTAAAAGCTGTGATCCAAATGGGCACCCCATAAAGAAGCTTCGCTCCAATTTTGTGCTGAAACACTTTTAGGGCCGCAGGAACATACTGGTTACCCTTGGTAAAAAAGAAACGGGTTATTGCTAGCACACAGCTGTTCGCAGATTTAATTACTTCTGATCTGTGGGCTACCCACCTTGCACTATGATGAAAGTTAATTCCCAAATATTTAAAACACTTCACCTGTTCAATGGTTTTACCCTTAACACGCCAGTTGATGGGTTTCCAGGAATCTCCGAACACCATTATTTTAGTTTTGTCAAAATTCACAGATAATCCGTTCAGCTCACAATATTCTATAAAATGTGCCAACAGTCTCTTTATCCCTACTTCAGACCTAGAAAGAACTACAGCATCGTCTGCAAACAATAGCAGGGGCACCGGTCGCGAGCTCATAATTGGGCTGTGACCATCAATCCTCTCTAACCCCGTGGCCAAATCATTTAAGAAAAGATTAAAAAGGAGGGGAGCCAATACACAGCCCTGCTTAACCCCTATTTTGATGGAAATTTTCGGGGTTAAATCACCATCCCTAGAGCCTCTTACTTGGCAAGTGGTATCTGTATATAATTTCTTAATCAACAGGAGCAATCTCATTTCAATTCCCAACAGCCTTAACTTCTTCCATAGAAGCTCCCTTGAGACAGTATCAAAAGCACTCTTCAGATCCAGGAAGGCAGCATACAACTTGGACCCTTTCCCTTTTTTGTATTTATTCACTAAGTGACTTAGCACAATACAGTGATCCAGAGTTGACTTCCCCTGACAAAATCCTGCTTGTTCTATACCTAGGATTTTTTGTTCAGCCATCCAGGCCTTAAGTTTAGACGCCAAGTGGCTTGCATAGAGTTTCCCTAGTATGGAAATCAGGCTAATGGGCCTATAATTACTAGGTGATCTACAGTCACCTTTTTTAAAAATTGGAACGATAATAGCATTGGTCCATGCTTCAGGTATTATTCCTGTCCTGTCTATAGCAGTAAATAGAACTGCTAAGAAGGACGCCCACCATTCCGGAATCACTTTAATGGCCTCCGGGGGAATTGCATCTGGTCCCGGCGCCTTCCCAGCCTTAATTTGAGCAATTAGCGTGGCAATCTCCACATCCTGCACCGGCGGCCACTCGGGACAA